AATGTTAGTTTGTTTGAAAAAATAAATTATACGCGATTTAGACCTGAATAAATAGGTTCATTTCCAATGAGTAACACATATTTTTTTTTTTTTTTTAGAAGTTTTTTTTTCTAAAATCGTAATCTGGAAATCGCTTTCACAAACTTTTTATAAAATGACCCTTGATATACTTAGCCTTTCATCCGATAGTTATTAATATGGAAGATAATAATTATGATGCATACTGTGGAAGCAATTTCTGTTTGTTACTGACTGGACCATTAAGTTTACTGAACCACGACAACTTAGCATAGTTGTGGGTCGAAATTTCCATCTGAAGTGTCCGTTCGAACTATTCCACTAGGTGAGTTCTAATCGACGATGATTAAAGGGGTTATCGAGGTTGCAGTTCCCCCAAGGTGCTTGTTTGAAGAACGTTTAGCATAACTATCGTTGTTGTGGTTAAGATGTAGACTTTAGTCACTAGATGTATTAGGTATTAATTACATCAAGTAATTCTGAAGTACTACTTACTTACATACATAACATCACGCCTGTCTTCCACCTGGTAGGCAAAGAATAGTCTTTGCCATCCATAGAGACTTCCACATGTTACGCTCCTGACAAACCTCCTTCGCCTATTCCACTCCCACCAATCTCTTCATACCCGCATATTATTGGTACTATTGACCCGGCCTTTTTAAGAACATCCCCAATATGATAGAGGTATGTACACGAAGGTCTACCTCTCTCCACAACTCCTTCCACATTCACTCTATAAAAAATTGTGCCGTCAATCTACTAACATTCATTCCTTCTACGTGCCAAACCATTCAAGCATCCTCCTCTCTATGCTTAGTTACGAGTACTTTATCATCTTTCACATACTACACGGTTCGGTATTCTGTATTTAGGACTAATATCGCACATATGTGCAAAGTTCTTATTTCTCCAGCGTTCTTTATTACTTACTTACATGTATTATTGTAGTCATAGGGTGCTCCTTTGTTGAACATTGCCGTCATCTGTACCCTATTTTGTACTGCCTTCTTTGCTTTGCTCGGTGTTACTCTGACCTACGAACAACTTTGCGTTTGCTCTCGATTGTTTTGAGTCTCTTGAGGCCGGACCCGAAGTCGATAATTGTAATAAAAAAACACCTGTTTTACGTTTTTCAGATATTCATTTAATATTGTTACATATTACAGTACCAAGTGTTAACCCGGTTTTCATATAATTTTAAGTGTAAAACATTTTTTTAGTTATGCGAACTGTCTATGAAAACTAAACAGCTACAGTAATTCACATTTTGTTTCCTGAAACTGTCTGACTTCTTTTATGCAAATTATATTTATTTTGAAGTTCCTTATTTATTCATAAGGTAAATTTACAACTTTACCTTTAGAATATAATTTCGAATAGTTTTTTTCTGTACTAAACAGAATTAAGCGGAATATTCAAAGTAAACATTACCTAGCAAATTTTTGAGAGGCGTACACAAGTTAAGATTTTATCGGAATCGCCACAACCTTGAAAGCATGATTCTAAAAAACAACTAAACAAAAACCTTTATAAATAAACCTTCTCGTATAATGTGACGAATAATCCATATGACACGATTCCCAACGGTTTGCTTTAATAAATTGTTTAATCCAGGCCTAACATAATATACTAATCCACGTGAACAACATTTTCATTAAAATTTGAACAAACAAAATGCCTGACCATTTTATCCGACGATGTTGAACAGCAACTCCAAATTTCCCAAACACAACACTTTGCTGTTTTGTCCAACGGGACCAACTGCCCATCACTGAGTTTTCTTGTAATAATAAAATACCGCGTACTGAAATCCTTTCTCTTTCACTCTTACGAAAAACACCACCATGCTCGGTTACGATGTAATTACGTGACTATATCACAGGGTGGATGTGAATGCATAATTGCTGAAAGAAACAAATGCCATAAGTGTAACTTCTTTAATTGGTAGTATAATCCTTCGTTTTTTTTGTCGAAAACAACAACGAAAGAACTGTTCTTGCCTGACAATGTTTTATTTTTGGAAATAATTATTTCACTGCCTGTTCGTAATTTTCGATATTTTTGTTTATGAAGTCAATATTACAGCTTTCATGCCGGTTTCCTTTCAACAACCTTTCACCACTGGTACATATAACACGTTACACATTTCTATCAATAAAATTATTAATAAAAGTAAATAATCGAGCTTGCTCCGCCATCCCGCCACTCGTATCCGCCCTCCTCATCTTTAATTTCTTTGTTACATCTAGCCTGTACTTACTACCACATAATGATGATTTTCATGATAATTCTTTGCAATCATTTTTTGATAAAGCTTCTGACTTAATAATTTCTTACCCAAATGACACTTTTTTAATTTTAGGAGATTTTCAACATATTTACGCCACTTGGAGGCCAGTAACTGATTATATGTATTTTAATATTATTACTAACTTTGATAAAAACGCGTAGCGTTGCAACATTTTATGAATTTGACGGATCTTAAACAATTTAATTCTTGTTTGAATATTAATGATCGTATATTGGATTTAGTATTCTCAAATAAAACTTGTAAAATTTCTGAGTGTATTGAACCTCTGACTAGTGTCGATCCCCATCACAAATGCCTAGATATTAGTTTACATCCCGGGTTAGCTATCTGAAAAATGCTCTGGTATCAAAATTTATTTATCACGCTACAAATTTCGACTGCAATATCCTTAAAGACATGGACACCGGGCAATCAGTTTGTTATTTTTATTAAATTTTTGATGATTTGCTGCATCATGCAGCAAAGTCACTCAAAACTCCTGAAAGCCGCCTTCATATACACGTTCCCTTACAATATTAGGAAATAAAAAAAGAAAAGCTCATTCTGGGGGGAAAGATATGGCAACTATTTGGATTACCATATTTTTAGTCGTCTGCGTGCAGAAGAGAAAGCGACGGAATCTGAATGCTACAAAAATTATATTCATCTCTCAGAATGTTCAATATACAAGTCACCTAAGTTATTTTGGTACTTTGTCCAATCTAAATTTCCGACAAATTAAATTCGCCAAACCATGACCTATGAAACAAACTCTTTTAGTGATTGCCAAACTATTGCCAATTTTTTTAACAATTACTTTAATAATTAAAATTTCGAAAAGGGTAGCGATTCATCTTTTTCTTGTAGTAACTGTTCTCCATTAGATTCACCTGCATATATTTCGTTCTCATGTATAATCACATAGTATAGTTCTTAAACAATTTAAATATATTAATACCAATAAACGCGCCGGCGTTGATAATATCCACCCAAGTTTGATATCCAAATGTGCTGAACAATTAGCTACTCCCCTAACTATTATTTATAACAAATCTTTAACAGAAGGTTGTTTTTCCAAAAACATATGGAAACAGGCTTTAGTTACCCCAATTTTTAAATCTGGCTCAAAGTATGACGTCACGAATTACAGGTCTATCTTAAAGCTTTGTGTCTTTGGTAAAATTCTAGAAAAAGTTTGTACACATCAGCACGGCTTTTTCTGCGGACGTAGTGTAGAAACCAACTTATTGCTTAATTCAGACTTCATACTGAATGCTATGAAATCCGGTTATCAGGTTGATGCCATATACACTAATTTCTCGAAAGCCTTTGACAAAATAAATCATTGTATCCTCCTGAATAAACTTCTGAAGCTCGGTGTGCATGGAGATTTCCTTCGATGGCTTAAATCTTATATTGAAAAGCGTATTCAGGCTCTGTCATTTAAAGGCTGTATTTCTGAATGTCTGGATGTAACTTCCGGTATGCCTCAAGGGTCTCATCTCGGTCCACTTCTTTTCACCTTTTACATTAATGATTTTGACAGCGTCTTTGTAAATTCACAACACTTAGTCTATGCCGATGATACTAAAATCTTTAAAATTATTACTAAAGACAGTGACTGTTTAGATTTACAAAGTGATCTTGACCAATCAATTATCCACATACTATGTTAACAATCAGCTACTTCTCAATCCTGCCAAATGCCATTTGATTTTATTCACTCTTAAAAATAACCCCATTCTTTTTAATTATATTTTAAATGACACCATTATTAAACGGCTTAATGAAATAAGGGATCTAGGTATCATCTTCGACTCTAAGTTGCACTTCAATTTTCATATCGGCAACGTTATTTCTAAATCATTTAAAGTACTCGTTTTCATTCTATGTATTTCGCAGCCTTTCCGTAAAGCTATTACTTTTAAAACTTTGTACTCATCTTTTGTGACGAGCAAATTGGAGTTCGGAAGCGTAATTTGGAACCCTAGTTACAGAGTGCACATTGATGCATAGGAAAAAGTGCAAAAAAAATTATCAAAAATCTCTGTTTTCGCACTAGAATTAAATATATACACTATAAATCCTCTTGTAATGCTTTCAAGGTTCCAACTCTGTGCAATAGAAAAAATTATATTGATTCATGTGTTTTATATAAACTTTTAAATATTTACATCGACTCACCAGAATTATTACAAAAATTAACTTAACAGTTCCGACTTTCGCCTCCTTGCGTTGTAAAGCTACCTTCTCATGTAAATTTAGTAGAACAAACTACTTCAAAAATGGTTTCTTTAAGTGCTCTTTCAATTTCTATAATAAACACTTAAATAATATGAATATCTTTGGGTTATCCTTAATAGTTTTGAGAAGAAAGTAAAAGAAGTATTTTAATTTTTAAATCTAATTTGCGTGTAACAGTGAACTGTACCTAATTTTCGGGATGTTATTTTATTATCTAGTTTATTATGTTGTTGTATTTGAATGTAGTTGAACCGTAACTTACTTGCTAAATTCTTATTTATGATTGTGGAAGTCCAGGTCCATTTGTTCTAATTACCAATCTAATTAATAAACTAATTACTAATTCGTTTTTGTACCATTTATTTGTTTTATGACTGTTTGTTTCCCTTGAATAAAAAATATACGGTTAAACAAACATTGATTGATTATTTTCCTTTCTTTACAGCTACGATACCAGGGTCCCAGGGCCGACTGCTCATTGGATGGACGAAGCCTTCGCAGATAGAACGCACTGGGTCGGAGGTCCAACATCTGCATTGCATATCAAGAATGTGCAAGCTCGAGATCGGGCGACATATCGATGTAGGGTGGATTTCACCATATCACCAACGAGAAACTATAGGATTGCTCTTGATGTCATTGGTAAGTAGTATTTGTGACACAGATGCTGTTTAATTAAGACTCGATAAATCATATTGAGAAACCCAATATTTTGACACAGGTGCATCATAATTACAGTAGATTTTGTTTGAGGCGTGAAGAGGCGTCTTGTAGACATGCAGGGTAGAGGTGGCTAGGACAGTGATTGTATCAACACTGCACTAGGTACCTTCACGATTGCATTCCACTTTCCATTTAACATCAGGTGGAGTGGAGTCATCTGCCTATCTTATATGTAATAAAGAGCTTTTGTTGAGATTATGGTCTTGTGATAATGCAATGGTATCTAAATATCGGGCTATAAATACACGTTAAATTGCATTAAAAGTTGATTTGCAGGGCATGAACTTCCAAGTTCACTTTTAATGCGATACTGCACATTTGACTAAAAACACAATACCTTCCACTAACAGCCCGAATATTAATGACGTCAATGATTTTTTCGGTATCAAACATAATTTATTAGCCTTTGCTAATATTTAATCTCTTAACGCAATTTCCATGTCATTCTGTACAAAACCACCTTTATTTTACACAATTCACACCCGCAGATTGACCAGTACAGAAGCTCACCCCATTGTTTACAGTAAATAACTACATTTTATGTTAAGTCTGTTTAGTAATCCTAAAACCAAACCAAGTCCAAACAGTATTGAACACAAAATGATAATTGGTTGTGTTAGGCAACTACAGCGATAACTTAGTATCAGACTGGGAAATTCCCTGTAGCAGGGCTCCGTCACACGCTTGCGATAAGTGCATACCGCTGAGTATTGTACCACCGGCGTTGCGGCGGTACAATCGTTCAAACGGCAGTCGCACACATGCCCAAAGATTTTAGCAAAAATTAATCTTAATTGCGCAATCTATGGCAAGAAGAAGAAATATTTAATAAAATCGAGGAATTAGATTAGAACCACGGAATTTTGAGAAAGGGAAAAAATATCATTTTATCAAACTTGAAACTATTAAATAGTGTCAAAAAATTATGTTTTTTAGTATAGTAATTATGTAGTAAAAAATACTATTTAAATTGTAAACAAAAACTATTTAAATAGTAAACAAAAACTATTTAAATGGTAAATAAATAATGTCCATTTCATAGATTCAAATGTCTTTTATATACATTAAAATCCTTGTACACCTTAGCGGTATAGGTGTAGGTGTTTTTCTCATCGTAGTGAGCGGTTGGTGTTATTATTCAGATGTTGTAGGCTATTGTAATGTTGGTAGGTATTTCGATTTTGTATACGAGTGATGTATCTGTTGCGTAGTAATTGTTAAAATCCGAGCCTGAACTATGAGTAACAACCATAAACGAATGAAAAAGTTCATTTCCAAAACTTAGCCTATAGGGAATCGAACCCGTTACCTCTTCATCTAAAGTCTTCGGTGCTAACTACTTCGTATCAAGTTCATATACTATGACATTCCCTTTACTACGAGTACTAGAGTAACGAAATTAACTCTAGAGTACTATCCAGAACACAGACAAGAACCAATTTAGAAAAGTTTCCTAAATTAGATCCTATCTCCTCACCCAACTTTCACAGCGCTAAACATCTATCCACAGAGGTTCGCAAAAGTTTTTATGTATGTAAATGTATGACTTGTTGGTTGTACTAAATAAATAAATAACGCACACACTCAACGTAACGCACACACTCAACATAGCCCCGTACTAGGGAAACCCTGAGTCGCGGGTGCCATGGACACACACATAGGCAACCACAAATTACACCCAAACTCACGAGAGAAATAAATATAGGCCATACAAATATTTCTCCCGGCCCGGGAATCGAACCTGGGACCTCTGCGTGGCAGCCCGGCATGGTAACCGTTCGGCCACGGAGGCAGTTAAGTTAATAATATTCAGGGTGTCCCGTAGTGAATTTGTGACTGTTAAATGAGTTTGTGACTGTTAAAAATAATACGTTACTTATACAGGTTCAGACTTCTGGGGTCAATTTTATGGCCTCCGCGTTCACCGAACCATTGATTTTTTTATTAGGGTGCCTTAAAAATAGTGTACAGTAAACCGATCGGATTCTTGAAAGACTTAGATTTCTATAAACGCCGTATCCGTATAGACGCTATAACAATTAGCGAACGACGACGTTTTTATTCGTTCGTGGTTGCTCGATGTTAGACCCCTGCATCAAAGTTTCAATTTCAACTTTGCTGTAAATTAATTATAAATAAAGGTTTTTATGAAATCTCAATAGTTGCGTACAATTCCGAATTAAACGTTTTTCAATTTTGAAAACTTAATATTTTAGTCAAAGCAACTCCTATTGCACTTCAATAGCAATAATTTTCTATTTACATTAAATATAATAATAAATTATACCATTTTAAAATCTACTTTAAACACATTACTTTAAAGTATGTAGTTGGCTCTTCAAGTTATCATACTAATATATTTTTAATACATAAGTCGCTTATACTTAGTCAAAAACAAACTGAATCTTATATAATTCATTTATGGTAAAAAATAATGGTTAGAAAATAATAGTTTTTATATGTTTTTAACAGTCATAATCCGTTCGTTATCGGACACCCCTGTATTATTTATTTATATATTTTACTTTACCTCTTTCTGCTGCCAAGCAGTAACGTAGACATTACAACACCGATCTTGAAGGGTAAGATTGCTGATTAAACTCCAGGCACATGGGACGTGTCAACTTTATGTTTCAAGGTGACGGCCGCGGTGGCAGTGCCCCCATATTTTGTGGTTTAAGGCTCTGTGACACGCAATTGTTATACGTAGGCGTGTCGCTTACCACAAGGCGTACGACTTCTTCGTCCCGTCACTTGATATCATAAAACTAATAAAAGAAACCTAATAAAATAATATTCGTAATTCGAAATGTCACTTGCTTATAATAAAACTTTTCTAGTGATATTTTCGCGATAACAAATTGTTGGTGAAGTTTTTTTTTGTAATATCAAGTGGCGAGATGAACCCCAAAAGTTGCAGTGCCATTCAAGGTTTTAAATCGCAAAGACCTCGGGGTCACTGCCACTGCGCAGTGGTAGCCCAGTTATCAAACGGTTGCTTCTTAACTGAGAGGTTAACGGTTCGAATCACTGTGCCAACATGTGCCTCTGACTTTATTTATTTATTAAATAAAATAAAAGTAGCCTATTACAATTTAAATATACTCACCACAAGTATGTACTAAGTGCAATCACAGATTCTCTAAAATTTACTTTGAAGTTAAGGTTACATACGGCGACTTTAGCAGCGATGTAACGCGATGCAAGAGCGCGACTGCATCGATACAAACGCACGATTGCGTCGCTACACTTGCGATTTGCAGGCGATTAGATCGATGTAAACGCGCGACTGCATCGATACAAACGCGCGGTGAATTCAGTTTAAAATGAATTTTAAAATAGGACGTAATTATTTGAAAACGGTCGTTATAACCTAAAACATTCTCCTCTGAAAAATTGTTCGAAATGGCGCTTTCGCCCTTTCTACAAAACACCGACGATATACTCCAATACTTAAATAACAACTGACATCAAAATAAGGTAGAGAAAAATCACCACCACGCAAAAAGAAGTCACCCAGATGCAGTAGAGAGTATTTTTAAAAAATCGTTGATGAAGTAAAAAAGTCATAGTTTTGTGGAGATTTTCAGGATAGCATTACATTAAATATAAAATCATTTTCAAAATAGACCTATAAATACTGTGTTGATTTGCATTCTCGCCATGTTTAACAAATTACTAATAGAAATAAGGTTAAATCATCTAAAAATATTAAAAAATATTATATTCTATATTCTGGCTAATTGTATCTAGTAAAGTTTTTCAAAATTGTCTCTAATCTAGTTAATTTCTTTAAACGGCGTTTCCTTTTACTCATTTCATTAGAGTTTTCAGTGGTAAAACAATTTCATATACATATAAAGGGTTGAAACCGGTCATCAACACGCCGTTCAGTAATTATTCTTTCCTCGAATCATTTGAAACATAATAATATAATAATGTTTCCATTGCTATTAGTCATTTAGTTCATTGACACTTTTATGTATTGATTTTATTAACTTTGGTAACAGAAATTGAAACAGTCGAGTTTTAATTGTACTGCATAATTTATTGACGACCTCGATGGGTGAATGGTTTGCATTTTAGGCGTTGGATGAATTCTTTCTTCCCTAACCCAAAAAAAGAAATCGTTTAAATACAATAGAGAACGGAAAGGAGACAATGTTTGGACATCTGTTACGTGTACTTATTTACAAAAGTCATTTCGTTGTAAGTTGTACTGAGCTTCGAAGAAATCGTAAAAAAAAAGCATAATTTTCTCGAATATGATAATAATATAATATTTAAAAAAAAACGAGAATTATTAATTTGACAATGTGGAAAATAGTATCACAGCTTATAAACTTGTGTGTATTTTTTTTATAACATTAAGTGACGAGACGAACAAGTCGTTCGCCTGATGGTAAGCTACACGCTTGTCTATAACAGTTACAGTACCACTCAGAACTTTATTATTTTTATGCTTTTGTTTAACGCTGAATAGGATTAAGTTCTAAATAAATTTCACCATCAACATTTATAAATGTACCCTATTCAAAGCGGATAAATGGATTTGAATTTAAAAGAAGAAGAAAGATGTAGAATCAGCAAAGGTCTGAGAGGCACTACCACTGCACTCGTCACCCTGAGACATAAGTTGACAAGTCCCATGTGCCTATAATTTCACCAGCACCCTTACTCTTCAAAACCAGAACACAGTAATGCTGACATTACTGCTTGGCGGCAGAAATAGGTAAGGTGGCAGTACTACCCTGGACGAACTCTTTCACATGGAGCTCTACTGCTACTAAATTATTAGTATTTAATATAGAAGAAAGGAGAAAGGGGGAAAATGTTGGACATTTGTTACGTAATGACGAATTAATTTGTGAGAAATTTAATTAAGGGGAAAATGGAAGAAAAAAGAAGAGAGGACGATC